GGTGCGCCACGCTAACTTATTTTTCGAGCTTTTTTAAATTTTCATGTTTGGCAAGCCAAAAAGCTAGCTTTTTAAAAAGCTACTTAGACTAGCTTTTCAGGAGCTTTTTAAAAATTTGCTGAATATACCATTAAATAATTATAAAAAAACATATTCTTCTAACTATTTTTTATATCATTTTATATCTTCCAGCTAGTTTTTACCAAATGTCAATTTTTCCAGTGGGCTAAACATAGCCTTAAAGTACAATGTTGTAATAAAAAGGAACAAAAAGTAGAATGTTATAATACAAAAAAACAAAGGTTTTTTTTTTTTTTTTTTCATTAAAAAAACAAATAAATACCTTTGAAAGTGTTGTTCCAGAATAGCACCATGGAATATTGAAGGATGTTTGTTTTTGACCCCCCACAGACATCTCTCTCAAACAAGGCAACCTGGATCTTATCCAAACTGAACATAACACATATATAAAATCATGTCAAAAGAATAAATTGGAAAAATGTTGTTTGTAATAGGAAGAAATGAAAGTAGGATTGAATTTAACCTTATGAGAGGAAAGCCTTTCTTTTTAACATTTGAATGAAAGACTTCTAATATAGATACAAGCAGCCTTGATTTCTCTATACTCCTTGTTATGAACGTATACCTTGCCCCTCGTTTCGCATACACCCTATCACACCAATAATAACAAAACATCAATTTTTCATTAACACCTCAGGAAAAAAGACGAAAAAACCCTTTACCTCACAGCTTGAAGCCCTAAACCTACTAAAACCTCTTTGATATCTTCAGTCCCAAGGCAACCGACTAGACTTGCACTAGACCCTGCAAAATGGGAATGGAAGAAGCTTCTTAGATTAGATCATTAAAAAATAAATAAAGTTGCATCATAAGTAGTAGTATTTAACTATTTATTGAAAGGATTATAATATAAAGTTATAACCAATTTTTCAATTTGCATAATGGTCATACCCCAACAAACCTAACCTGACCCATGGTGTCGCCCATTGAGAAGCAGGATGTATAGCTTCAATTCACAGCTCAGTAATAATGCCACACCACTGGTTTTTTTTATCAATAAAACAGGAAAATAAATATTGTGAGGAATAGCTGCAATTGTTTTTAACCATTGCTACATGTAACTGATGTAAGATGTTGATACATATTCAGCCACAATATTGCAATGTAGGCATTTATAATTGATAAAGACAAGAAAAACATGGAACATGTGTGTAACTGTACAACCACCTAACAAGGGAAAGGGAAAGTGTGTGTGTGTGTGTGTGTGAGAGAGAGAGGAAGAGAGATTGACAATTAGACATTGTTTCTTTTTTCCCATGTTCACGGTTGTTTGGGAAATTGATGATTAATATATAGATATAAAATCATAGCAAACTTGGGGAAATGAAAGGAAAAAATAAATTATATGTACATGTATCTATGTATTTGACTGTCTTTTTATCTATATTTGTATATGTATGATTATGTGTATGTGTGTGTAGATATGTATGTATATGTATCGTGTTGCATGAAAAGTCATGTTGGAAGGTTTGACCATTTGAGAAGCTCATTTAATAAAGAAAAGGACAGGATTTTATCTATAGGAGCTTCTAAGGAAAGGAAAAGAGGTGATTTTTGGTGAATGGTGATATGATTCTCAGTAATCATAAAAAAATCTTGATGGATTTGAACTCCAAATCAAGGGTATAACCTCCAAATTACCTTCTATGATCTAAATGTGAAGATTAAGGTTCATATCTAAGGTTTGTGATTTGGGGGTGATGGATAAGTTTTTGATGCGTTTTGTAATTGTTAAATGGGAATCATTAAAGGGGTCTATGATCATAAAGAAGAATGGATTTCACTACAAACTGATTAATCTTTCATGAATCAAAGTGTTGACTTATGGTGTTATTGGTCAAACTTAGGACTAAATGAACTTTGAGGATATTATTAAATGTTATGATGGAATTGTGTATAGTAAAATACTCAATGGTAAAGTAATGGAAGAATGTTTATGAAATTTATCAACTTTTGAAGGTAGGTTGCCTAAATTGGTTTATGACAACTAACAAGGACTTATTCTTGCTAAAATTAAACGGAATGCAAAGGATAATGATAAATCGTATAAAAATATCTTCATGGAATTGGGGTGTTTAGAATTCATAAGAGAAGTATAGGATAAGTGTCAAATTATGTGTATTTGACATGAAAGTGGAAAAGTGCCAATTGTGTTAGACATAAGTGTTATACAAGGGCATTAGGACATTATTGTCTAAAAGCCATTTTCCCTTGTATAGCTACAAAGGTACATCATGAGAAGAAATCGTTGGAAAGTCAAACACGAAAAGGAGGTGAGAATCCATAAGTAAGGTCTTAGGTTCAAGGCATCACCCTCTTGCTCCAAGGATGTTATGATTTACCTTTCCCTAAGTGATAGCTTAGTGGGGGCCACAAGGAGCCTCGTGATGGTGTATCCTCTTTCTTTATCCCCATGCATTAGGTATAGAAGGTGGAACAATGACACAATGGTACTTTACTTTTATCATTATCTATTGATTTCTATTTATCTATTAAATTTACAAACATAATCATAAAACCCTCTAAGGGACAATGTTCTAAGTGAGAAACACCTAAAGTATCTAACTTAAACATCTAGAAATGGGAAGCTCAAACAAACAAGTTCCAATAAAAGTCATGGGCATGTACCTTCATTTCATGTTAAAAACCTAATTAGAGAATCATCAATACGACTATATAAGGAACTCAAACTTGTAAAAAGCTCAATACAACATCATCATTCATCTTTTTAGAGACTAAACATGCATCACTTAAAATTTTAGATGGTGTTTTGTGTATCATCCATCCACCTTATTATTCAATATACCCTCATATGGTTAAGTTAGAAGCTTAGTCACATGCAACAAAGAGCACAATCCACATTGGAATCGAGACTCCCACACCCCACCACGCACCACCATAGTGACACATGGCGGATGGTAGGTGGTCAATGGTCGTTCAGATAGATCCTCAAGCAAACAATTGCAATACACCACATACTATCTACATATTTCTATAACACATAAAAATATAAAATGTACATGTTCTAAATATATGGCAATATGGGCATGGCATCTACCTTTTGCTGCTTCCAGATGGATCCTCAAGCAAACAATTGCAAGACACATGTTGGCTACATGTTTCTTCAATTCCAAATTCCGAAAGATCCACTTCAAAGTTCTTCAAGATAAATTCTTCTGTCTCAAGCCCTGATAGATTTTTTTCAGTAACCATTTGGAAATCACTCATATCAGCCTCTTGGCTATACTTCAATTCATTATCATCTGTTTGTGTTTGTGTTTGTGTTAGTGAAACAATTCTTGGCTTTGGTTTTCTTTTTGACATTTTCTTCTCCAACCAATCGGCTTCTTGCTTCACTAAACCAACTATTTCACCATCATTAACACTACTTCCTTCATAATTGTTGTTTAAAGAACACGACCCGTTTTCTGTAAACTGAAACACATGATCTTCAGAAGTAGGGATGAATGATAAACTATCCATACTTTTTGAAAAATCATTATCAGTTGTTGAATCAATTTCAACAGAATCATCTCCACTATCACTTGAATAGCTATCTGAAGACACCACTGAAAAAGACTCAACAGATAGCTGCAGAAACTCTTCTTCCAAATTATGGCGTCGATGCAGAATGTCTTCTTGATAATGAGGAGGTGAACGAGGAGCATCGATGACATCATCAACAGATTCCAAAGGAATGAAGCTACTATTTGAACTTGTCATTTCAGGTCCTTCAACTTTGAAACCATTGTCTGAACTAGCCATTGCCCCCTTGTCTTTTAAAGATCTGATGTTTTTAGAAACCTCATTATTAACCTTTTTATCATATTTCATATGACTTGAAATAGATGCATCTTCATCAGCAAGATAATTTGATTCTGTTTCAGGGTATTGTTCAGAAACAGTATCGATAGACAAATCATCATATGGATAATAAGACACTGGAAGCTCCATTCGGTGTTCTTCAAAAACATCAGCAGAAGCAGATATGTATCTTGTTTTTTTACCAAATTGTTTTACTCTTCTTTTCTTTCTTGAATCTTTCTCTTTTTCAGGAATCAAAGGAAGCCCACTTGGCACATGATTAGCCTTTATATGATCACTAGAAACAGGATTCATCCACTTTTGAAACTCCTCTAGCCATGAAGCAGATCTTTGTTTTTTCATGAACTCGATTTTGTTCATGAAATCATCAATTTCAGCTCCTTTATTTAAATTAGTGTTCTCCTGTTTGCCTTGTTCCTCATCCTCATAAATTATCGATTCATGATCAGAAGATGATTCTGTGCTTGCCATTTCACTTTCAATACTGGCAACACGCGATAGTTTCTTCTGAAAAATAAGTCAAGAAAAAGTTAACCATGGTCAAAGAAATTCAAGAAAGCACTTGTAAGAAGTATGTAAATTAGGACTAATGCAAGAAACAGATTTCATTTCTTTCTATTACAATGTAATACTTTCAATCTTTTTCTGAAAAATGTGCATCATATTGCGTTTTTCCTATTAGGACATTATAATTTGAAAAATCTACCCAAGTATAACAGTGAAAATTGCTCTGTATTTGAATGACATTCTTATAACTTGGTAGATTTTGAGAGTAAGATGCTACAATAAACAAATAAATGGAAGAAATTTTCTATTTCTTGCATTTAACCCTATTATAACAAGCTTTGGTTCATAACACCATCAAAAACAAATATTAAAAAGTTGATTTACTAATTACTAACCATTTTGTTGTGAACACTTGCTTCTGTTTCAGCTTCATCTTTGGCTGGGGAATAAAATCCAAAGCTAGCTGGTTGCTTTTGCCTACTGGCAATGATGATCTGTCGTTTCCAGACTTCTCTAGTTGAGATCTTTTTGTCATCCAATATCAACTGCAATGTTATACATATAAGAAAAACACTAAATGCAATCTCAAAAAGTAAATCAGATTATACATTTTTTTGTTGTATTCTCACCTTTTCTGGATCAGTGAAGAAGCTATAAACTTGTGGTCTATACCAGCTAGCAGAACATACTGGATTTCCTTCTAACCACAAAGTCTTCAGTGATGGAAGAGCTGCTAGGAATTCCAGCTCTGAAAAGCTAGAAATGATATTGTAGGAAAGATCAAGCCCTTCAAGTGATTTTAGATTCTCAACCCCACGCATAGTAGTAAGAGCATTATTCCTCAATACTAGTTTCACAATCTGACATGTAACCTGCATAGAAGAATGTGTTTCCCAAATCATTGATTGAAATGTAATTGGACTTTTGGAGATCAACTCATACAAATATACAATGGGAAGAAGCAGAATTTCAATTAAGCTTACCTTACTAAATGATGAAATTGTTCTCAGTTGATTGAAACCGAGGTCTAGGTGCTTCAGCTTGCTACATCTCAAAAGATTATCCACTTTGGTAAACTTGTTCCGGCTTAGATCAAGTGTTTCAACAACAGGAAGGAGTCGCAGGGAATCATCCATTAAAACCAAGCCATTATAAGCACAAGAAACGAATGACAATCGCTTCCACTGAGGAGAATGCTCTATCTCAGCAATTCTACTAGCAAAAACATGTCGAAGAGCATCCTAGAAGTAGAATTGATCCAATTAGTATTAGAATCTGAACATTCAGTTCGATGAAGAAATGTAAAATCAATCTTACAGTTGAGTTATGACAGATAATCTTCTCCAGAGTGTGCCTAAGTTCAAGAAGACCTCGAGCAGCAGAGGTGGAGAGATCGCATCCACGAAGTTCGAGAACCTTCAGGCGACTAAAAGGCAGCAAACAGAGAGGCGTCGGGTCTCTACAGGAAGGCGGTGGTAATACAGAAATAACTTTGAGTGATGTAAGTATCCGTAGGATCCGTCGGAGCTGTTCAAGCGCCCGGTGATCACCAAGGTCAGAGACATAGGCACGGAGGTAATCAACAGGAGCTCCGGCGAGGAGCCTCTCAAGCTCCGCCAACGATTCGAGCCGGGATTGAACATAGTGAAGCCCAACCGGATTCAACTTCAATACAAGGGTTCCTTCGATCAACGGACCAGCCTGCTTCTCGACGAACTTCACTAGCGATTCGAGATACCGATCTCCGGTGACAATTGCCCCCATGTTGACTTACAAACTGGAATTGAAAAGAGGGTTTCGAGGAGTTAAGGTGAGAGAGAAACGGCCATGGTTGTAGAAGAGAGAGAATGGGAATAAAGCTGTCCATATGTGAGGTAAAACCGCAACGCATAACACTGTTCCCTGGTAGTTCCCATTCCTATTTCACCATTACCATTTCCAATTCATCTGTTGGATTTTTGTGCCAATTTCGCAAGGATCAAAAAACTCCAACCATCGAATCGAAGCTTTCCTCGATTTTACCTCCTGATTCGGTTTTGATATGTCAATTTTTCAAACCCTCCATGATTGTTTTCTTCGGTCGAATCAAACCTATATATAGTAATTAGTATATGTACATATTAATTTTCATATATCTATACACACGAAGTAATCCAATATATCGGTTTAACATACACGATACAAGTAACAAAACGAGCAGGTTAAGTAACACGTTTAATGGACAAGGACAATTATTATATAAAGTTTTTTGTTCGTCTTTTAAAAACAAAAATAAATAAAAATTACATAATCGGTCTTTGTGCTTGCTAAATGTACCAAATGTGGTCATTATGAGGAATTTATTGCAAATATGGTCCTTAAGTTTGAAAACCTATGCAAGCATGGTCCTTATTAACGACAACGTTACTTTTGTACCGTTAATGACCGAGGTGTGCTCCTCACGTGAAGGTATTCATTTCACTTTATCCATTCCTCCAACGTTAATGTATCTCCTTTTATATTACCCTCGCAGAGTGTAAAACTTCACGAAAGACGACAACGACCTCATTCTGCAAAGATGAAATCAAAGACGAAGGCGAATTCAAGATGGTGTGATGTGTTTGTGGTAGATAAATTGTCAACATTACCTCATGATCTAAGCTCAATCCAAGCAAAAGATTTTGGTCTTATGGGCGTTACAGAAGTAATTGAAGGTGGATAGACCTGCCCATATGTGCTAGACCTTTGGAAGTCATACCATGTTTACTACGATCATCTACAAGACTCCTTGCAACAAATTTACATGGAATCAAGAAGGTTGAAGTTATTATTTTTTTTAGTTGGACATTTTTTTTTCTTTTGTATATCTACAAATCTTGATTAGGAGTAATAGTTTGTAATTGATTTTTGGGTATAACGTTCACTGTGATCTAGCCTTATTTATTGGTCATATTTTGTGTAAGTTTTTGGTATTAATGTATGATTTGTAATGGTTAACCTTTGTTGTTGTAACATCCCAAAATCCATGACAAAAATTTCCATTTTATTAAAAACATTTTCATAAAACCAAACGATGATCAACGATTGTTTTCAAATCAAATCCATAGAATCGAAGTGTCAAATGATCCCTCATGTATAATTCAGCAGGAGGATGTGTACGATCACATATTCGCCTTATCCGATCAACTAAAGTACCTGAAAACATTGAAATCAACAATTGTAAGTCAAAGCTTAGTAAGTTCTCCCAAAAATACTCCACAGAACAATATATATATACAATGCATGCACATTGGACCCACAACATAAGACTGGATTGCCCCTGAGCCCACAGCATGATACTAGATGCCCCTTCCCGGCTCATAGCTTATGATTGGCTTGCTCCCGAGCCTACAACATAAAACTGGATTTCCCTCTCAGCCCACAACTCATGACTAGCTTGCTCCTGAGCCCACAGCATAAGACTAGATTCCCCCCCCCCCCCACTCGACCCTCAACTTATGATTGGATTGCTCTTGGGTTTGTTGGCTTACAACATAAAGCAATATCACCTCAACCCAACCATAATATGTCGCCATATACAACAGATAAACAATAACCAGTAATACAGATAATCATACATATCTACCGATCTAGCAGGCCACTAGATACATAACACAATAATGAGCCGGCATTGGTGCCTTCAACCCACGAGTATAATGAGAAACTCACCTCAATTTGAAGACAAGATGGACCACACACCCAAGCTGACAATATCCAGTCTCCCCATACTAATGCTAAACACATAATAAAACCATAATTAATAATTAAGGTAATAACTAACTCATGAAAGATCTAGGTTCACAATTAAACCTCCTTTGGGCAAAATACCATTTTTCCCTTCCAATACTAAGTCCCAATATGGTTGACCAGAAGTCAAACTGGTCAAAAAGTCAACGGTCAACCCTCGGTTGACTTATGCTCAGCGTAGCATAACCTACGCCCAACATAGATTCATCCCCAATTTCACAACTAAAAAAGACCGATTTGTTTATGTTTATTTAAAATCAGAGTGTCCATTTTGAAGAATAATATTGCGGATTCTGTTCCCAAAAAACATGATAATGATATCATCAAAGCATTTCCGAATAAATGTATTTTATTTATATTAAAAATGTTGGGATGTCATCGTCAATACAACACATAAGCATAAACGGAAATAATACATGCCTTACAAACATCTATCATTCTACTAGCCTAAAATCTATAAATCCCTCATTTGATCATCAGACTTATGCTCTCGTACCACTACCTATAATGCAAGAAACTGAGTGGGTCAGGCATGGGAGCATGGTGAGCACATAGGGGTTTCAACCCATAATAATATAATTAATATTTTTAATCATCAAACAATTAACCTAATTTCTCATCCCTATTATCTTCTTTATTCTTAAGTATCTACCCTAAGGATCATCAATGTTGACAGTAAGTTTTCTTCTATATTTATTCCTAAGGATTTCTTATAAGGAATAGGCATGAAGTCCATCGCTGCTAGGTTTAATCTAATAGGCACTAAGTCCATAGTTGTCAGTGTTTATCTATTAGGCATTAAGTCCATAGTTGCTAGTGTTTATCAATTAGGCACTAAGTCGATGGGATCATCTTCTTTATTGACAATATTATTTTAAGGAGTCCACCCATAATACATGTCAATGGGTTTTTAGAGTACATTTGATGAACCAATGGTTCACAAACACCTCTAGGTTGCGAGCCTGCTAGCGTTCCACTGAACTGTTTAGAATAGTATGTGGTTGCCATCTATACTCTTTTAGATGATGTCATCTTTAAAGTCAATGCCTCTCATCATCTATTTCATTTTTCATCTCTCATCATCTATATCATCTTACATCTCTCATCACATATATCATCTTTTATCTACCTATATTTACCCAATATATTTCAAACGCTACACAAATAATCCTACACTGTTGCTGTTACTGCGAACCGACTCCCGAACTGAGCCAAACAGCCCAACACCATAATCAATAACTAACATAAGGCTAAACCCCAGCACTAGGCCCAACTAACCATACTCACTAATAGCCCAAACCCATTGGAACCACTGAGGCCCAAATCCGTTAGGCCTATAAAGGCCCAACAAGGAATACACATAATCAAGACCAAAGAGGAGTCCAATTCCGAAAACAAATCCTCAGACTAAGAAGTCCAATTCTCCAAAGCCCAAGACCCAAAAACTAAAGCCCAAAGCCCAAAAATGTCACACGAGCCCAAAATGGCACTGGACCATTTACGTTAGGCGTACCCATAGGTACACTAAGCGTACTCGCAAAATCCTCAATATGCGGGGCGTACAATTAACTATGATGGGCGTAGACGCGCATTCTCCAACATTGACTTATGACTTAATCCCTTAAGCACTTAGCTCCAAAACCTCATGAAACCTTCATAAGAAGCTCTTAACGGATAAAGTTGTCAACTTTACCAATTTGCATGACTCAAACAGTCCCAACAACTAAATTTATCCTTTAAGACCCATAACGGCCACCCTAACACATGCATTGGTCCATCCTTAAACATCAAGCAAGCATCCTTAAGAACTAATAACCTCAAAATACTAAGAGTAGCGACTCAAAGCTCCTGGAGTGGTGTCAACCACTAAATTTCACCCATGAGACAAAAAATGGGACCAAAACTCATATAATGATAGATCTAAGCTTCAAATAAGCAAGGTTAGAGCTTTATATCTCTAATGAGCTGGAGATGAAGAAGATAGCCCATATCCATAAGCCTTCCCTTGATTCACCACCTTGCATCAAGCTTCCACTTCTTGAATAATCACCAAAACCCACCAAAGATGAACACAATGAGCTCACAACACTATTGGATGAGGCTAGGGTTTGAAATTAGGGTTTAAGGACAAAGTAGGCTGATAAATGAGGTTATAATGATGTTTATATAGTGCCCAAACCCTAAAAATGTAGGTTTGGCAGTCTGCCTATTACGTGGGGCGTACGCGTTCCTTAGCGATGCCCAAGGGACTAATCAGCCAACTTATTCCACCAAGGGCCAAACTTGCCAAAACTTCAAACTGTCGTAACTTCTTCATTATAAGTCTGTTTCCAACAAATTTTATATCCACATAAATTAAGTAACGAGAAACACTACACTTCTATCAAATTTATTTTCCTGAAACCCACTCGAACTCAGATCCAAAATTCATGAAAGGCCCGAATAAACGCCTTTACTAATACCCTTGGGCTCTAAAACACAAACCAAACTCTTTAATCACACCACCTACCTTACCCACATCCAAAAGGGTCTAAACCTTTCTTCTTTAAAACCTCAAAACCTTCTCATACACAAATTACTGCCCACGAGCCTTAAATCATAGAATGATTTGAAACATAATGTTACAATTCTCCCTCATCTAAACTGATCTGTAGTAACCATCACCTCCGGCCCCATATCGGCCTATGATCTATCCAAAAACCAAGAACGTTGTGGCTCTCCCACGACCCAACATGAAACGACCCAAAAATTTTTGTTTTAGTATTACTAAAAATCACATCATCCAATGTCATATATAACAAGAACCATGGAATGAGTACTCAAAAGTCATAATAACTGTGTCAAAACAAAATTGTATCAATCATAAAAAAAAATGTCTGAATAAAACTCCCAGGATAAAACTGAAGTTGTGGTGGGTGCAATGCCATCATCCCAAGCTCTTCCCTTTGCTAGCGGAAGTACCTGAAACCAAAACTGAAACTATAAGCACGAAGCTTAGTGAGCTCCCCCATACTACCACATACCATACAACAACATATAAACACATATTGGGCCTTACCCACTGCATCGGACCGGAGTCCAGAACTAACTAGGGCCTTGCCCTCTGCATTGGATCGAAGTCCGGAACTAACAAGGGCCTTGCCCTCTACATCGGACTGAAGTCTGGAAACTGCATCGGACCGAAGTCCGGAACTAACCAGGGCCTTGCCCTCTGCATCGGACCGAAGTACGGAAAGTGACTGAACATAACATAGCACAATCATAACTACTAGCATAAACACATATACTGCATACTGCATCGGACCCAAGTCCGGAACACATAACACAAAGACAGGATTGAATCACAATGACATCAAGCACACTGAACTACTGCATCAAACCGAAGTCCGGAACTACTGTTAACTAGACGGGCTGGCATTGTGGCCGTAGACCCGTTCCTACTTGAAGGAAAGTCACCTCATAACGCTGGCTGCTGAGATGCTAAATTTGAAACTACCTGACTGTTGCTCCGGAACTTCCCTACTACAAATACCATGAACACTAAATCAAATACTGATAACTAATCTCAAGGTAAAATGACTATTTACCCCTAGTCAAGTGGTCAAAGTCAACTTCCAGTTAACCGGACTCACCAAGTTGGGATGCCAACTCGCCGAGTCCCTATCATCCAGTCTAATCCTCTATCCGCTTCTATTCGTCGAGTTTGGCAAAGACTCGACGAGTTCTTCTTCGATACAACATCGAGTCTAACTTCATCCGACTTGCCGAGTTGTATGAACAACTCGTCGAGTTCTCCTTCAACATATGAACACGT